TGTTGCGCCCGTACCGGGGACCGGCAACGGGATCGCAACCCTTGGTATTGCGCCCGCACCGCGCTCAGCCAGTGAGCGGGAACCGGTCTCCACGTGAGATCTGAACCCTCGGTGGGAGCGCCGTCGCACTCCCAAGCGGCGCACTCTCCAGTGTGCCACCGGGCCAGCCCTCTAGGTTTATTTCTTAGGTAGTTTTCTTCATTGCAGAGACCACAAATCAAATTCTGAGTGACCATCCTTTTGCAATTTGTATATTTTAGTTAGTGTATAGTATTGGACATTTCTTAGTAGGTTTATTTCTTAGGTAGTTTTCTTCATTGCAGAGACCACAAATCAAATTCTGAGTGACCATCTTTTTGCAATTTGTATATTTTAGTTAGTGTATAGTATTGGACATTTCTTAGTAGTTTTTTATTATTCCTAAGGAACAATAACACTTTATGGATTCCCCCAAATTTGGATGTGTAAAAAAGTTAAATTGTCTATTTTTTTGCAAAATTGGTTTTTGTTCTTTTTATTTACATATGTAGCTCATTAAGAGTGATAAATAAAAGAGAAACTGTCATGTCTTAGAGAAACTTGTGCATCCTTAAATAAATAGATGAGAACTAGTCATTATTATAATGGTTATAGTTTGAAGGGAAAATGTTCCAGATGTAGTGGTTGAAAACCCCATGCCAAATTCATGTTTAGGTATAGGGGAGTGTATACCCTGTTGGAATTTGGAAAACCGTCCAGGCTCTGAACCATGGAAGTCTTGAGACCACAGGCTCTGACTCATGCTAAATCCATCCAAGTGCCCATGTGAGAATTAGTCGCTCTTCCTCTTTTCAAAGTCAGCAAGGTGAAAGTCTCCAAGTCAGACTGACTTATAGTTATTCGTCTGACTTTAACCAGAAGTCACATCTTACTTTCTAATATTTTATACTGAAGATTTCTTGGAGGCTTTCTCTCTTAATCTTTCAAGATGAACTTTTATCTGTATTGTCTGAGGTTTGCTGCGATGACTGGTCACTAAGGAGTACAGCCTGGATGGCCTTGTTTTCCTTCCTCTTATCACTGAATTTTCACTTTTCCTTTTTCCTCACAAGTTTCAGAAGTACTTCCTTTTCCACAAAATCCTACAATATCCCCCTTAGAGAGGTTTCCAGAGTTTTAGAGGAATAATTGACTGTTGTACAGTTGTATTGAAACTTTTAAAGGCACTCAGTGATTCTTAATTCTTGACTTTCATCCATTTGCTTGTCTACTTACAAGTGTACACTTTTTCTTTTTGATTCACATCACACGATTATGTATATGAGTTACATAAATGGAATATTTATGAACATTTAATAATTTTATAATTTCAAAAATAATTCCAGTTTGATGACAACCAGATTATTGGAGTATCATTGGATTTAATGAGACAGCGGACCTAGTTCTACATGGCTTATACTCTCTTCTTCATATCTTATTTAGGGGAATAAGCTGTGCAACCCTTTAATTTGGGTGGTTACTTTAGTTAAGTAATAAAACAATGGATCTGAGAGATGGAGGGTACAAATCTCTCAGTTTCCTGTAACTTTTGCTCAGTTCTGAAGACTATTATATTACTGGCCATTCTTGTTTATATGGTGGATAAAGTTCAGGGTGAAAGCAGGCTGGACAGGATAAGACTCATACCCACCCTTGTGAAGTTATAATAGTGATTAGTGTCATTTTCTTATTTTTGAGAGGAAGCTCAGGTGTATCTCCTCTGAATTTAAAATAGTGATGGGATTATTTTATTATAAAAAATATAGATTTGGTCTATATGAGGAAGATCGATATTCACTGAAGTACCTAAGCACATACAATTGTTTACTTTGAAAATAATAATCATTTTAAGAAAAATATTAAAAACACAAGACATCTACTTTTTTCTTTTGTTTTACTTCATGTTCAATAGCAAAAAAATCAAGACATTATTATAAATTTTTGAAAAATATTTTCTTATGTAAAGCAAAAGAATGAAACTTCCAGAGTATTAATTAAAATAATTTTGCTAAAAATAGCAATAGCTAAAACACAATCATACAATAGCAAAAAAGACAACTTAATCACAGTAGTTTCATCTTGACAATTCTCTTATAATGATTTTACTCAGCAAGACCATAAATAATATATTTTCTATTTGTTTAGATGATCTTTTAAATTTAAATGGCTTCACTTTTCTTCCTTAATGCTGAAGAAGTCAATTATTGTAAGGACAATAATAAAAAATTTATCAAATCTCAATTTGCATTGAAGATCTTCTAGATATGCAATAAGAAGCATAAAAGTACTAATATAATGTATCTTCTTCAGTGATATTAGGAATACTTCCATTTCCTGACAAAAGGTATTTGCTTACTGCATTAGGATTCAAGATTTCTATAATGAGTACTTAGCACATAGACAGTAATCTGTAATTTACATCCCACACAATCTTGATGTGGAACATTACTCCACATTTAGGATGGATGATCCTAGTTTCTAAAATAATTTGTGGATCATGACATAAATCTCTTTATAAAGTGGCTGACAAACACACAAATTCCTATGGGAATGTTGGGTCATTTAGGTATTCTTTTTTATAAATTTGGAATTTTGGAAAACTGCAGAAAACAAAAGTAAGTAAAACAAAATTCTTTAGAAAATAGAAAGTGACTTTCTTAAGACTGTTTGGAATTATTCTCCCAGTTGATGGCCATAATATGGTTCCCTCATTTTGGGCTCTAAAGTTGCCAGAAACAGCTCCAATCACCAGGTTACTGAAGGTTTCTTATTTTTATGAAGCTGTCTTCAAAAAATACTGGGATTGACAATTGTAGAGCTGGCGAAGAGCTAAGCCTTCATTAGTGTATAACTACCATTCAGATGTTGTTTATTTGAAGGTCAGAAATGATGGCTGGCCCTGAATACATTTTTCCATGTACCTGGATTAAGAAAAAAAGAAGTTGCTAATATGACTATAAAGTCAGTAATAATCCTGATTCTAAAAGAGTAGCTTTTCCTTTAAAATGGTTATTTTATCAACTAGTTTATTCTTCCACAAAAATCTGGTTCTTATGTATTAATACTATTCTATAATATATATTTCATATATTTAAAAAGAACCGTTTCCAAGACTTAAATGTATAGCTATTATTTTATGTTGTATCTACTTTCTAAAAGTGAGAAAATATTGTTCATTCACTACGTAGTAGCTAAATGGCTGCTTTTTCCAGGAGGCTTCTAAACGGTTGCAGATGCAAATAAAAAAGCTTATTACCATTGCCATGAAATCTAAGGATTACATTATGATGGAGAGGCATTGGTATTTAGCCTCCTCATTAAGGAAGAATGAAAATAGGAATCCCTACATGTTTTACTTGATTGTTGAATCGGAAAAGCATAAGGTCTGAAAGATGCATAAGTCATGGAAAGAACGAAATCCAGATGATAGATCTCCTTATTTGTAAAAGTAACTATAAAATTTGCATTACTCATTAATGATCATTTCAGAAATAGCAGTATACAGACTGGGTTGGGAGATGAATTTTAAGACATCAACAATATTAAAAGTTGTTGGATAAAATTCTTTTGATGATGGAAATAAATTAGACACTTAGACATGAAATAATTACTAAAAGAACAATGTTCAAACTAGTGTTGCTATGATGAAATTGTCATTGTGGCCCAAGTGCAGATATATAATTTTCTCTATTCTATGTGAGGAATAGAGTATGTGTGACTTATTTGATAGGTAACTGGCGCTGATTTCATAGATTCAGAAGAGTTTTGTGAGTACCAAGTGCTGGTAGTCATTGCTTCTCTTTTTTTAATTTGCTTAAGACTGTGTTGCCTTTTCTTTATTGTTCCCCCTACAAAAGTTAGAGTGTAAATTATACTAGTACTATTCAGAATAGAGCACTAACTTCCAGGAAAATGAATCAATGAGAACTAGAATATTATGTTCTCATTTTTTCAGTCTCCTAAAATTAACCTCAACATTTAGACACTAGAAATTTTGGACCATTTTGCAGATTTTCCATAATTTATAAAAGTATTTTCTTATTTCTTGGGACATAGCATTCTTAGTTAAAGGTCTTAGTGAAAGTTATCAGGAAAAGAAAATTATGTTCAAGTAAGTTCATTTTGCTTCTGATCATTTTAATAGGATTATACAGTTTTGTCATGGAAAAAGCTGAAATTTAGGAGAAAATTCTTTGTATTTTTTAAATTTTAGTTACTTGATATCTCTAGTTCCAACGAATACAGAAATTTGGGAGTTAACCGATTAATAAAAATTTTGATAATTATCTGTATTTCCTATGTGAAATAGTTATTTTAATGCAATGGTAACCTGTTAGCTAATTATATACTCTTAAGTGTGGGGAAATTTTATTGAAAATTTGATGCAGTGTCAGTTTTTCTGATTATTATTGAATATGGATGTCCAATTTGTGTTTCTTAGCAAAAGGGCATAGTGTTTCCAGTTGTATTTCAAATAATTTCTGTTAAATTTTGAAGTTATGCACTTCAAATACTTGGAAGACTTATGGTGATTATTTCTCACAGGTAAAACCCGTGAAATAAAGTTGTTTAAATAGCTTCAAGGTTTTTTTTCTGTAATTTTAACTTTATCATCTTCTTTTTGATAGTTTGAGAATGTAGTTTTACCTTTGCCATAAACTTTTAAAAAAGTCAGTATTAGCTGTAATACTCAGGACTTCAGATGGTTTTTATTTTTATAACTTTATCATCTTCTTTTTGATAGTTTGAGAATGTAGTTTTACCTTTGCCATAAACTTTTTAAAAAGTCAGTATTAGCTCTAATACTCAGGACTTCAGATGGTTTTTATTTTTATTTTTTTCCCTAGTTATAGGTGCATGTTACAGCTTGCCATTGTGGTCATTGTGGTTCATTTCATTAAGCTTCTTGTTCTATCTGCTTTCTTGAGACTTGGGAAACAGTATTTTTCTGAGTGATTGTACCATATTGTTCCAAATATAAGGCCACCCAGAATAGAAGGCAACCTCCAACTAGAAACAGCTCAAATATGGAGAAAGGCTGGGGGCCCAGAGCCCGGCGGGTCTTGCAGTGGTGGCAAGGGTGCCGAGGAATAGGACGATGCCTGCCCACTCTCCCGGTGAGTGAAGACAAGTCAGCTGGCTGCATTTGCTTGTGCATAACCAGATGGCTTCTGCTGCTAGAGGAAAAGTTATACTGGGGGGGGGTACAGAAAAAGTCCATGAGCATGTTAGAAAGTTGCTGTGTGTCTAAACCTGGGAAAGGAGGATGGGAGTAGTCTTTCTCCTCCTAAACAGTCTTCTTCAATGTGTTTTTCCTGAACCTGTGGGTAAAATTTGAGCAACACTAACCAGGAGGGAAGAACAAAGGTACCCTGGATCTTTCATGTAAAGGAGTTTAAAAGGTCAATGGCCATGAAAATGAATTGTTAACACCATCAGATGTCTCTACGCCAGCCCAGAAAATGATTTCTTGCCCTTTCAAATTGAGAGTTGATGCATGCACCACTATGTGATCATGTGTAGCTTGAAAATAAGCAACTCAAGCTGGGAATCACATTTCCAATTCATTAAGATTTCTTCTTTTTAAATACCCTCTCCCTGAGCCAGCTCAGTACAATTTAAATAAACAGGTTTACTCTTACTGAAATAAACTCGAAGGGGATGTTTAAAATCATTTGGTTGGGGCCGGCCCAGTGGCGCACTGCTACAGAGCGGCGCTCCCGCCAAGGGTTCGGATCCCACATACAGACCGGCGGCTCACTGGCTGAGCGAGGTGCGGGCGCAACACCGAGGGTTGCGATCCCGTTGCCGGTCCCGGTCTGGTTCGGGCGTGACACTGAGGGTTGCGATCCATTGCCGGTCACGAAAAAAGACAAAAAGGAAAAAAATAAATAAATAAAAAATAAAATAAAATCATTTGGTATACTGGCATTTTACTTAGTAGCATACTTTTAAAAAATAGTTTAGTGAAAATGTATTAGTCAACTGAGAGTGTATATCGATTGAACCTAGATAATTCTCAAAATATTGTTCTTATTCAGCTAAGCACATAGAAAACTAACCTTTTATTTTATAGTATTAAATCCAGTTTTCTAGATTATAACAGAATCAAGCACCTCTTAGAACAGGAAAACTATTTTAATACCTGTTGGTGCTAAATTTTACCAGGCAAAGTATTTATTTATTTGGTTACCTTTGTGGCTTCACAAAAAACACCTCAAATAAAAATGTTGATCTTTCTTGTTGGTTACTAGCTCATGGCTCTCAGAGCTAATTTGAAGTAGAACTTTAATCCCCAAATGATATATTTTCCCTCACTGTATGAGGGTACTTCAAAAAGTTCATGGAAAGATTTGTTTTATCTTTTAATTCTATTTTTCCATGAACTTTTGAAATACACTAGTATACTCTAGGAAAGATCCTATTGTACCCCCACCCCCTTTTTTTAAAAGTAAACTGCTTTTAATTTGTTTGTTTCTGAATAGATGTGCCCAGGATAGGACTCTCCTTAAGTTTAAACAATGCTAAATGGCCCAGATGATTTGGTTTATGGAGGCTATTTACATTTATTTTGGAAATTCTCCTAAGCCAAAGTGTTCTGACAGATAGAGGCCGCAGGTCCAAGCAAAATCATGCCGGTACTGATATACCTACATTTTTGACAAGAACCTCTGGAAGAGGACTGGGCAGAAAAGGGTTTGAAAGGAAGAACTGGGAGGAGGTAGCCCAGAGCAGGAAGGATTATTGCCGCTAAATTAGCTTACCAGTCAGAGAAAGAACGGCACTGCAATGATGTGTCCTCAACGAGAGATTTGAAGTATACTCTGAGATTTGAAGTATATGACCTGAGAAGTCTTTCCAGAAGGGATTATAAGGATGGTACAAGGAAGAAAAGAGAACAGTAGAGGATGAGGGTTATTCCAAGAAGAGAACTTCCTTTATAACTTCTTAGTTTTGGAACCATTTAATCTCTGCAGAGAAAGATGTCCAAAATTTGGTGGTGGGGGGAGAGTATGCCCTGTAACCATCTTTAAACTTCGAATAATTTCCCTTCTATTATTTATGTAAGCCATAATTAGGTCTGATTTGATCTGATTTACAAATACAGGAAAATAAATTTTATAATTTATTTTTTTCCAGAGGGGGTTGGGGCTGTTATAATTGGCAGTCCTGTGTTATCACCTGCTATTAATTTAAGTATTAGTAGTAATGGAGGACAGAAGCTGATGTCACCTAAGTGTCACATCCCTGTTGGCTAGTGATGGTGGGGGCAGGAACTGATTAAATGGCACAACTCCTTGAGCAGGGGAGAAAATATGGCCTCAATAGGCGTGCAAGATTGCAAGGGGAGACTTTAAAGACAAAGGAAGAAATGACAGCAACAGGGGAGGGGGAAAATATTCCTAATTGCATAAATAATAATCTTTGTAAAAATCAATGGGGATTGTTAATTTCTCCATAAATACCATGGTTTGCATACAATACATGCCGCTAAGTGTTGTTGTGCACAATTTTTCCCCGCCCATCCCTAAAATGTACAACATAAAAGCTCCCTGAAGATGCTGCGAATTAATATCCCAAGCCACTGGTGTTTCTCCCTTTATGAATTCACATATAATACACCTTCATTGGCTCCTACTTGGTATTAAGTTGACAGGATCAACTTAAATGGAGGCGTTGTTAATCTATTAGACATGACAAAATCTGTGGATTTGTTAATGGGGAGAAATTAAAATCTCCCAGACCCTCTAAGAGTGTAATGATGGACATAAAAACAGATTTGGAAAATTCCCATTTGACTTTTTTTTTAGGAGAGTGGATAATGACTGTTCTCTTTTTCTTTGCTGATCCATTAGTCTTTCCCTAAGCAAAAAGGATATACCTCTGATAGAAATCCCCAATTCTTCCCCCAAGCAAAAAAGTGTAGACCCTGATGGATGACTGTGGCCCGTATCGTTGTTAATCTATTAGACATGACAAAATCTGTGGATTTGTTAATGGGGAGAAATTAAAATCGCCCAGACCCTCTAAGAGTGTAATGATGGACATAAAAACAGATTTGGAAAATTCCCATTTGACTTTTTTTTTAGGAGAGTAGATAATGACTGTTCTCTTTTTCTTTGCTGATCCATTAGTCTTTCCCTAAGCAAAAAGGATAGACCTCTGATAGAAATCCCCAATTCTTCCCCCAAGCAAAAAAGTGTAGACCTGATGGATGACTGTGGCCCGTACGGGTCAAATTAATCATGCCCATGTTCTGATTTCTCACCAAATAAGTTGAAGAATCACTAAACTAAAAATATGAAATTTGTGTGTTTTATTTTTCATTTTTAAAAATGCCAAAAAATGAGAGAATCATTTTTTGAAGAAAATGTTAAATTTGGTTAAATCTCTTTGGAAAATGCTCTACTATAGGTCTTTCCCTCGAAGAAGGGTTTACGAGACACAGTTTTTCCAATGCAAGAAAGTGATGTGTCTGCCTTTTCTGAGAACTATGGAATGTGGCATTTCGCTTGCTGAGTGAGCATGTTTAACTCAGCTGTGGAGTAATTCATGCATTCCCTACTCTTGAGTATCTTTAAGTTTCAGAAATCATTCTTGCAGTGTTCTTAATGACTATTCCTTGAGGGGCATTGCTCTTTTTGGTAAATCAGGGGCGACATCTATATATGTATAGCCATGTGTCTTGGTTAAGTTTTCTTGCTGATCAAGCAGCAAGTGTATTCCAATTAACAGGTTGACAGCATGTTAGGATAGGCTAGAAAAAATAACAAAATGGCAAATTCTCATTTGGCAGTGACATTGAATATTGAATAACATCGATGTAGTTATAAACGACTTTTGTTTTAATAACAAAGTTGTTGATTTTCTACTAAGGGTTCTTTTAGGTTGTCATCAGGGGCTGATGGGAGTAACAGTTCACCCAACTCTCCAGCTAGCTTCAGTGGACATACCACACCTTCTCAGCAGCCTGAACCTGTGGTACATTCTCTTAAGGTAACCGACTGTGTGCAACCATTTATTCCAGAACTTCAGTTGTGTTGTGGCTTGTTCGCTGTATTCTGGTAGTCCTCACAGTCTTGCTTTAACCATGGATACTTTATTTTTTGACCCCTTATGGTATAACTTTTTTATCTTAATTTTTGAAGTATGATTTTTAATTTTTTTAAACTAACAATGGGTACTTATGGTTGAATCTCTAGTTTTATCATTTTGTTTTGAGTAATGTGATTCATATCTATCTGCATCAAAGTTGAAATATGTGCATGTATATCCATATGTGTAAAATATTGTTATAGGTATTTTATGTGCAATGTTTGTAGCATGGATGTCTAAAATGCAGGGAATTAATAGTTTGGTCAAAATAAGGAAGGATACCATATTTTTCTTTCTTTATGTAATTGAAGTACATTGTCCAACTTACTAAAAGAAAGTATTAAAGTAAACAAAAACCTACTCTTTCCTCCACTAAGTAGAAATTAGGTCTTTACACTAGCTAGTGCTTCTTTATAGAGTATTAGAAAATAGATATATGGTCTTATTCATAAAGCTGATTTATTTTTGGCTTTTACTTCAGATTCTGCAATGACTTCACAAAAATTTGGCTGAAATTTATCATTTATCTATTTTCTTTACCAATAATCAGCTTTCCAATAAATAAATTTAGTAATAAGTACGCACCATAGTAAAAATTAATAAATACAAATGTAAATATTTACCTATCTAAGAGAAGAAACTGATGTAGGCAATAAAAATCATCTTAAAAACTGAGACAGTTCCTTGAAAAGTTATCAATTTCAAAGTATGAAGCAGTGTCCTTCAAATTTATCTGTAATTCCTAACACGTAGCCTTGATCAAACCTTTCTGAGCCATAAAGTAGGTAGAGTGCTTCAGTTCTGCTTTTGCCACATGAGTTTCCTAACTTTTCTTAAAATTGTTTCAGTTTCAGAATGATTTATCATATGACTAACTGAAGATGCACTCTTTTGGAGTGGGCCACGTTTTATGTGGCATCATAAAGCAAATAAGTAGATGAGAATGTCAAAGTATTTATTTGGTTTTGTGATGATTTAGTTTTAGAAGATTTAGCTTTCTAAGTGTATTTTGCTTTAGCTTATACAAAATGAGTTTGCTTTTCCCAAACATATGCTGATTGCTGATGAGGAAAGGAGAACCCTGCTGGTGGCCAGTGGCAAGCACTAGGCGTTTCCTGTCTTGGTTGGGATAATTCACAAAGTGAGCAATTGAAAGGAATTCTTGGGGAGGCACAACCAGTATGAAGGGCTCTGATCTACATCCAGTGGGTGTTTGTTTATTGACTGATGGACATCTCATTCTCTGCTGCAGCATTTGGATGAACTTTAGCACAAATCAGGCACTAGCAAACTAAAAAGTATTTTATAATTGGAAAATAGACCAGAGATCAGCTTCAATCTGTAGTGTCTGCATATATTCCAAAAGCAACACTTTGCCCAGCAGTACTGTTCAAACTGTTTGAAAGCTGTTTCGGCCTGCTGCTGTATTAAATGGCAAGTACAGTTTGAATTTGATCAGCATAGTGAGTCACATTGAGATCTTTCCCAGCTTTCTCAGTGCAGCTGTTAGTGTGGCCTAAAAGGCAGGGGAGGGTAGAGAAGAGCTCCTCAATTTTCTCTGAATTCATTCTCTAATTTTCATATAAAATTTTTTCTCAAGAGAGGGAGATATTATGTTATAATCAGAACACATAAGTGTCCTCCATTGGCAGATGGGTGATACTAAGCAACTGAAGCATCTTTATTGGATAACTGGAGGCCCTTGAATATAAAACGTGTTTGTGTCCATGAGTTAACTGTGTCGTGAAACATAAATATGTGCAAACAGTCCTCAGGAAATGCATCTTAAGCTCTCAATGTAAAACAAAATGGCCACTTACTCTGTTTTGTTTTTAAGAGCAACCTCTCTAGAGCTGATTCATATCATGAGATTTTTCTGCTCTGAAAGGAACAATTAGAAAAATGGCTCAGTTTCTCACCTTCTTATGGATTTCAGAGAAAACTCTAGACTTTAATAAACTCTCTGGTCATGGTTTGTGGGGGAGTGTGGTAAATTAGTGTGAGAAATTAGCCCATTTGTAATAACACCATATTTTTCTTGCTTTAAAATTCATTATAACTATTAATTGGAGCTTCACTTCATTTAGTAGAAATTAGCTGATTTGAAGTACACCTCTTGGAGGTACATTACAAATCAAATTTGTAGGCAAATGAGCTTGTTCAAGGAGCTCTTTAAGTTTTCTGTGAATATTCTCTGAGCACAGTCAATAATTTCCTCTAAGTACATGAAGAATGTGAATTGACTCTAATCTGGGGTGAGTATCAGAACTTTCAAGAAGTGATATCTATAGAGTAATAATGGCTGGGAGTTTTGAATTAACAAGAGAGTAATTTGTAAATTAGATTTTTTATTATATGATTGAACTCTGGTTAGTCTCAGATGGTATCTATGAACTTGACCTGAAGGTCCCACTTCATGCTTAAGTCATTTACTTTGGCTCAACTGTTCATTGGTGCAAATTCCCAGGTGGCACATTTAGATGTGGCCATCAGCATTGACCATGACAACAACAGAACAGAATGTTTTATAGCAATCTCACAGTTCGGTGTGGATTCTATAGGAACTTTTAGGAAAAGCATTATTTTTTATGCTACATTAATGCTTTGGTTTATAGGCTGATACAGAGAAAAATAACAACAGCAGTAAAAGCCAAAGTTTTGTCCCCTTTTGTACTATAGAAAGTATCCACATGTAAACTTTAGACAATTTAAAGGAGTATTCTTTTTAATTCATTTGGGGATAATGTAGGGAAGTTGAAAGATAGGCCTTTAAAATTGTTTAAAAGCATTTTATCCTCAGACATTTGACTCCAATGAAAAATATTTAAGTGTTACTCAAATATTTTTGCTCTAAGGAGCCAGTGTTTCTCTTGCCACTATCAAAGAGCCATCTCCATATTCCTTTCTTTGGCACTAGGAACACATCCAGGCAAAAACTGCAAGGTCAGTAGTTCTTGTGTGCATATTCCTGGGTGCTGACCAGTTTCACCTGTCACTATTATTTTTTAGTTATCTTTTCCATAGGCCATGTCTACATATCATTTGGACTGTTTGGCGTATAATTAATTATACTGCTCATCATTACAATGGAGCAAGAGTTATTGACTGTCTCCAAGTGGTTGACACTGTCCTGTTATCTTAATGACCAAGTTAAATGCTTCTAATTATTTTAGACATTAATGAATTCAATTGACTATTAGTGATGCAGTGGATTGCTTTTAATGGCCATTTGTAAATCAAGTAGAAATTATCCCACATGGATTTCAGAACAATAGACTATTTTGAAAAGATTATGCCATGTATTAATCCATCCTGATATGCAGACACCCAGAAAAAGTTTTACAAAGTGGAGCTCCTTGATGGTTTTATCATAACTAACAAGTTTTTTTTCCATGTGAAATTTGCTTTTCTTTTTCAACAAATCCAGGTCTTGGATGTTCAGGAAACTATAGATCGTCAACAGGGTAAAGAGTATGAACATGACCTTAGTGAGACAGAAAAAGCTATAGTCAGAGAAATGTGCAATGTAAGTTTAATGTGCTTTATTTTGTATTCTGTGTTGAAAGCCTCATCTCAGCTTAGTTATTGCCTTATGAATACCTAGTTTTTAAAATGCTGACCAAATGTCTTTATATTTTTGTATGAAAATAAAACCAATTTCCTTTGTTTTTATCTACAGTATGTTTTATTGCAGTTTTATTAACATAATAATCATATTACAAAATATTCAGGTCAGAGATGATCAGCCAATTCTGTATTCCAGAATGATCTATGAACATTTCTAAATATTAAATTTATTTTTTGTCTAAAATATGTGTTAGTAATTTTGGTAAAATAAGTGGGTTTCTGTTTCATATTTTTAAGAAGTTTTTTAAAGATCAGCGTTTAAAAACTTGTGATCAACAAAGAAAACACAACCTTCTTCAGATTTATTTGTAACTATTCTTAGAAAAAAATCAATCATCACCTTCCTAGGTAGCATTTGCTTAGTTATTCATACATATGATATGTGTTCTTCATGTCATGCAAAGTATTGTCTTTATCTTTCAGTTGTTGACACAAACTCAGAAATAGTAAGGTGAGATAGAGATGAACCTAAGAGAGAGAAATCGAAATCTGTCCATGAAGTCAGACAGAAACACAGTTAAAAAAAAAGTGTTATTTTCCTGATACATATCTAATATAATCATTATTGTGGTTCGGATTTTATTGTTAATCCTTGATTACATTTTAAATTTTTTGAGCCATATGCATGGGGTGTATCATTTAATCAAGTATACAACTGGTGAAGCTTTAAAGGGCTAAAGGGAATATTGTAAAGAAGCTATTTGTTAAATGCAAGAAATCATGGTAAAGCACTGATCATATTAAGCACTGATTTTTTAATTGGCTTTTATACTTACTATACTTTTATCCTCATATTCTTTTGGCTATTAGGGTATCAAAATTCCTTAGAAATACCCTTCCGCTTTAGGTCTATTAGGACCAGATATTCTCAGACACTTATCTACCTCCTGGAGATGTTTCTGGAATCCAGTAAATGTTGCACAATAAGTCCCATGGGCATTTTATGTGTGCTGGGGGGGAGAGTTTTAATCCCCTGCTTGCCTGTGTTGTGGCTGCTTTTTCTTTTGAGACTCTTTCCAAGTTAATTGTTTTTCTTTGCTGCATGTCCATTGTCTGTTTTCAAAAGGTCACTAGTTCTAGATATCATTATTTCCTAATGCACCACTGTTCACCTTCTGTAGCCTTTCAACCTGTGCTTAAGGTTTTCAATTTGAATATTTGCCTCACATAAATTAAAAAATTTGAGCCACAAAACCAGGGATGCTGTTGCTTCTCATCTGTTGACTATGGAATGAGAAATAAAGTTCAGACGACAGGAACTGTAGAACTAGAAGGGACCATAGAGGTCATCCTTCAGTGGTTCTCCAAAGAACAATGTGTGGGGCTTCTTTGTAATTCACATGTCTGAATTTAACATCAGACCCTGTTTCAGATATGAACTCCTTAGTAAAAACCCTAACACTCACATTTTATGTTTGGTAAATCTAAAAAGATCCAGATAATAAGTTACTTGCTCAAATTATTTTCTAATGAGCAGTGAAGTCAGGAGTATACCCAGATCTTTGAGGACCAGATCTTTCCACTTTCTCAAGTGTAGTAAGTCTGAAGACTTCCATTTTTTTCCCCAAAGAATGAAAAGCAGCATGTATTACAGAGAGGACCATCTCTATTGTGTTTAATGCGAGAATTTCCTTCCCTCCCTTTCCATTTTCCCTTTCCCTTCCCCTTTCCTTTCTGTTTTCCCTTTTTCCCTCCCTCCCTCCCTTCCTTCCATTTCTGGACATTAGAAAATTCATTTCTTAGTCTCAGAAGAAACCACTACTGGATTGGATCTAGATTAGTTTTGTGTCGATCTTTTTGTTTGCCCGTATTTCCAAAAATGCTTCAAAAGATATTATTAGATGGTGGTATTGTTCGCCATATAAGATAGTTTCAGATGTTTCCAATATGTATCGTCAGAGATAAAAGTCCGAGAGAGAGAAGGCAAATTCTTTTTCCTCCTTTCCTCCCTCCCTCCCTCCCTCCCTTCCTTCCATTTCTGGACATTAGAAAATTCATTTCTTAGTCTCAGAAGAAACCACTACTGGATTGGATCTAGATTAGTTTTGTGTCGATCTTTTTGTTTGCCCGTATTTCCAAAAATGCTTCAAAAGATATTATTAGATGGTGGTATTGTTCGCCATATAAGATAGTTTCAGAAAGCCAAAAGCTTTCCCTCCTTCTTTATTTTTAAAAGTTCTTTAGGCTACCTTTTCTAACTGTCCACTTTTGTCTTCGATCCCCAGAATCTGAGAAAAAAATGCAAACCAAGTGAAATCTGATTCTTAAGCACGCTTATATTTGGAAACAATTAAAAAGCCAAGAGAAAGAAGTGTTGATTTGAAGTAATATTTGTGTCACTATTGTAAATTATGTGAACGTCAAAAATTCATAGTGAATACTGGAGAATAAAGAAAAATGCAGATGGGAAGTCAATTTCATAGATAAGTAATTTCTTAGAAACTAGCGAAGATTTGGAAGCCTTGGTTCCTATTAGAGGAACTACAGTCATGTACCATATAATTACATTTTGGTCAACAATGACTGGATTGTATTTCAGAATATTATAAAACCATATTTTTACTGTACCTTTTCTGTGATTAGATATGTTTAGAAACACAAATACCATTGTGTTACAATTGCCTATAGTACTCAGTACAGTAACATTTTGTATAGGTTTGTAGCTTAGGAGCAATAGGCTATACCACATAGCCTAGGTGTGTAGCCGGCTATACCAGCTAGGTTTGTGTAAGCAGACCCAATGATGTTCACACCACTGCAAAATCACCTAACAAAACATTTCTTGGAATATATCCCCATTGTTAAGTGATGCATGACTATATATAATTTTAAAATAATGTCACAGAAATGTCTCATAATGGGATATAAGACTCAGGTAGAACTTAGAATAATAGAAGTTTTGCCATAGTTTCTGGTATTCCTCCTGGAGATAAGTTGCTGGCGTCTATACAGTGAGAAGACAGTTATCCATAGCACCATCAAGTTGATTAGTAAGCATGAAGCTAGTTATTCTCTTCCCAAATTCTGCTACAGAAATATACTACCCTCTAAGAAACAGTAAATCCTTATTTTTGTAGTAATGGCTTTATTTTAGGTTTGTCTGCTTGGTTTGTTTAAATTCCCTGAGGACAGTTGAAATACTTGACTGGTCGTGTTAGTCACATTCTCAAACACATACCTATACTTTTTTAGTCACTTTTTATTTATTCCTTTTTTAGTTAACAAGTCACTATTCCTGTATTCACCTTAGTACTGTTGTTTTATTTCAGAGTTCTGCCTTCTGTAAGAGTTTCTTTTCACCACCTAGTAATATCTGGGGTAAGGAGTTCTACACCTGAATACTTGAAGGGGAGTTGAGCTTTCGAGTTGTAACCATCTAGACCTTTGTATCTGTGATCCTTGTGAGGTCTTCCAGTCTATACTCTGCTTCTAAACCAGACATTCAGAACCTTCTGGTAAATGTAATTGTATTTAGAGGCTAGAAAGGGAAAGTCTGCAGCATCCTTTGGCTTCTTGATTCAGTGTTTGAACCTCTTCAGTCAATTTATTAAGCAATGAGACTTTCCTAACTCCCTACTGCATAGCTTCAGCTGTCCATTGCTATATAAATCCTCTCCAGATGTTTAAAGACCATAACCATAACTCCCTTTGAGGACAATAGGACATTTCTGCCATGTAGCTGTGTCTGTAAAATCATGAGTGGTGTCTGTGAAAGCATAATAGTTCTATTGGCTTATAAATGAAGGTAGACAGAACCCTATATTTTTCTGTATTACTACGAATGGTATTGGGTTTCCCTAGAGTATCCACTTGTATTTAAAAGCATAAATGAAACAAAACAAAAAAGAAACACAGACTGTGAATAATTAATGAATAGACAGGTTATGAGTTCATGTTAAAACACTGTAAATTTTTGTGCAGTTAACCAATCTGAACACAAACATTATAGTGAAACACTCTAGGAGGGTTATGGCTCTTATTGTGTATGTGCACAAACATGCACATGCCTGTGTGTGTATATTCCAATTAATGCTAGTATGTTGGTGTATTATTAGTGAATTCAGCAGTTTTACTTTTATACTTGATCTCACCTTTTGCTAATGTCCCTCTAAAATCGCCCAGTTTTTAGTATGTTGTAAATTGTATCTCTTTCAATGATTCCTGAACGTGTATTATTAGTGAATTCAGCAGTTTTACTTTTATACTTGATCTCACCTTTTGCTAATGTCTCTCTAAAATGGCCCAGTTTTTAGTATGTTGTAAATTGTATCTCTTTCAATGATTCCTGAACATTTTCTTAGCTTTTCCCTAGATTTGGATGTGTTCTGATTTGGAAATCTGAATGATCACACTATTTGCTAGCTAAGATTTGTGATGACTGAGCCCCACACTCTGCAGAGAAAGCCAAGTAAATGTACTACTGGCCCTAAGACTATCAGCTCAGGACTTACATAGCTCAAAAACAAAAGCCCCATCATTTCCCTCAGTGGATTAAAAACTTTGATGTCTTTTGTTATAGATGTATAATATAGGAATCAGGATGATCTTGCTAAGGGGTTCTTAATTCTGCTTACACATTAGAATCACTTTTGGGGGCATTTAAAAAATACAAATGCCCATGCCTCATCTCCACCAATAAAAACAGAATATCAGGGTGGGAGATACTGTTTAAGAGTTCCCCAAGTGCTTAGTGTGCTGCTAGAGTGGAGGACCACTCATGAAACTAGAGTAAGTTGGTACATCATTCTCTAATTTCGTCCCTGGTTGCTAACAAGATGTAGTGGCCCCATCTGCTAAACAGTTCTTGTGTTTCAGAAGCTTGTCATCACATTTTATTTTGTGTTTGAACTCATTCATGTGGATATTTTGTCTCTTGTCTTTGCACCCATCTTTACCCCCTCTCATAGTTCCCCCTTAAAAGCCACAAATCTGTATGGAAGAGGATAAATAAGATGCTTACTCCTTGCTTTTTGTTTTTTGTTTTAAGGTTGTATGGAGGAAACTTGGAGATGCTGCAGGTTCGTGTCCTGGAATTAGGCAACATTTGTCAGGAAACCAGTACAAAGGACCAATGTGAGAAACACTTTTTTTCAAACATGAGATCACCACTGCCAGAGAGAGATAAAAGAAGAGATGAAGAAAGAGAAAAGACTGGGTTTTCATAAACCTGGACTCATGGAATAACATAGAATGATTGTACATTGCACATATCTCCCCTCTAAAACCTTTAGTACAACTTCCCCCATAAAGCCGATATTTTATGTCTCTAACTTCAATGTCCATATTAAACAAGGTAGCTTTGAAAATCTAGAACAAGGTAGCTTTGAAAATCAATATTTTCATTGGAACTAAAATGTTTTTAACTCCCCAGATCTAAGATTGCAATTGGGAAACCACATAGTTGGAAGAGTCCAGTGGAGCCTCAGTGGTTTTGGTAGAGTTGACTAATTTATATAATGATGGTAGTTTTCTACCATGTTGTATTGAAGATATGAAGAGGTGTTTGCCAGCTTCCTGAGTTTGAGAGTTGGGCACCTACCTCTTATATTTCAATCAAGAAAATACTCGTTTCAGATGCATAATTAATTTGGAGGCAAGATAAGATTAGGTTTCTGGGTTGTGTTTTGACTTTTGAGGTGCTAAAAATACTATGTAAATTATTCTTACCAGCTAGAAGGGTAGCAAGACTTTGTAGAGTGTTTATCGGAGAGTACCATTTATTTCAATTGATCAAAATAAATCTATCTTTTTAATCTGGATGAGTTGCTCATATAGATGCATCTTGGGGACGTACCAACCTCCATATCTATTCAGTATATTCATTGATGTTAATATTAATAATTTCAACTAATAAGCGAGCAAACATAATTTTTCGAAGTGTTTCGAGCTGTGAAATGTCAATTTCTACGATTTAGTTTCTAGACATGCTGTATATTTAGTAAACTTCATGTAAACTTTAAAATACTGCACTGCATTTATGAAAAAGCTTTCTTTGCCTACTGCAGCTATCTTAACATTTTATGAAACTGGCGCATGCCCTTCATTATTGAGGCTAAAAGCTCTTGTTCAGATTGCTTGAGGTTTGAAAAAGAGGTGTGCTAGCTTTGCTTAGTTTATTTCTTATTTTCGGTATACATATGTAATATTAGAATGTGTGTATTGGAAATGCTACAATAGGTATTTTGTGCTTATCCAAATGCAATGATAGTTTTTTTTTGTATGAATGTGCAAGAGGCCTGTGACAGAATGCTACATTTTTACTGTAGTTTAAGATTATAAAAGTAGGAATGCAACAATTCCCAGTTTTCGAATATCTTCTAAACTACTGAGATTTAATTCATAGTAGATATTCTTTGTTGTTGTTTTTAAATGGACTTATTACACAGCGTATTAATTGTCATTGGTGGGGGAATGTGAAGGAATTTTGTTATACTTTAGAAAATGTTTCTGTGATGAAAATCCAGCCCTCTATTTTCAGAAAATATTTATGAATTAATTTACTATAGAATTATCTAATTATTGTAATTGGGTTACAGTTTAAGCCTCTCTTTATTTTAAAATGTTATATTTTTAAATATTATTACTCTGTAAAAGAAAATTGCTTGCTATATTTAACCTTCTCTCCTAGAAAAGTCTTCATCCTTAAATTGTTGTATTCCTACACTCTGAAAATTTAAAACAAGTTTTTGTGCCTGCAGCAGAGCCTGCAGAAGCTAATACAAGGGACATTGGTCTTTTGACAAAATACTTGTGTAAATTTTGATACTGTATTAAAACTATTTTTTTAAAGTTCTGCATAAAATTGAGTATCAAGTATATGTGTTCATCTTAGCAACGGTAATAAATTATTTAATCTCATGGTGTTCTTGTCTTCTTCAAAATGTTTTTCCCAAATTGAGTAGGCTTTGATAGTCCTTAAATATCACAATGCTCCTTTGTCATAATAGTAATACAGATGATTTATTATCCTAAATATGAAACAAAGACATGTTTTTAAATATGCTCATAATGGGGGATTTAATATTCAAAGATTCCTCAATTTGCACCATTCTTTGTTATAATGTATTTAAAAATTAAGAATGATATTTGAGTATTCAAAAATTAGTTTCTGTTATAAAATCCTCTCCTTTAATTCATATAAATTAAAGTGAAACTTAATTCAATTATTAATTTATTATTATTAAAACATTAGTCATCAGAAGGAAATATACTGGAGGAGAAATACTAAAGAAATGGAAAACTTGGCCTCTGTATTTAAGAAGCTTACATGTTATTGGGAAGGGTATAATACACACATATGACCAAGATATAAATAGGGGAACACAAACGCACATATGCCCAGATAAAGAACACACAAACTTCTTTGAAATCACTCATTGTGGACTTAGGCTTTTGACTCTTAGTATTAGCCCTAACTTTAGATAACAGAGTAGATGGACAGCCCAGGGCCTGAATCTTGCTGTCGTCCAATCTGTTTATCAATCAAAATGAGTGCCACCATTGTCACGTGACCAGTTCATTAGTTTATGATCTTATCTTCCCTGGGACACAGGTTAATTTACATATCTTGGCAGAATATTCTTACCAGCCTTGAAGCTGATAGACTGACAATCAGAATCTAAGCTTTTAAATGAATGCCTTTCACGTTTCTAGCACATGTTTAATGCACTGTAGAAAATTCAGATCATCTTATGTGACATCCAGTAAGATACTGACAGTCTAATTGGGATGATTGTTCCTTAGTTCAATGAACATTTAATGAATGCTTACCACTGCTGTAGTAGTAAACACAGCTTAGGTTCCTGACTCATAGTGCTGACTACTCTTGAGAAATATGTGGAATAGTAGTGTCTCAAATGCCAGCTGGAGCTTTCTTTATTCTTGAGATCTTGCTTCAATCATCCATTTTCTTGATCTGAGGAAGCAGTAAGCTTCCTAATGATACCCACTAATTTCCAGAGTTTGTACTCTGTGATAAGCTTCCTGTCACCTCATCTCCCCTCTACCTAAGAGGCAAACCGATTTCTCCATTAGAATCTTTGGTATCCATTTCTGGAAAGGATCTGCCTACCTCAAGCTGGCTTATTCAAGGTAGATTCCCAACAAGCTCAAGACATTTCTATGTGAAATTTATATATTGACCTCTAGAAAATAAAGATTTCTTCATCCTGTTACATAATTAAAGATAAGTTGAACTATATGAAATGGCCAATATTTGACCATCTTTGAACTGTGGTTCAACTTCATATGATGAAGAGTTTTTTTTTTGATGGGAATTAGAGAGTAAATACAATAGGAGTTAGAGAAAAGAGTGTCGGCCAATATTTGACCATCTTTGAACTGTGGTTCAACTTCATATGATGAAGAGTTTTTTTTTTTGATGGGAATTAGAGAGTAAATACAATAGGAGTTAGAGAAAAGAGTGTAATCACGTTAGAATTATCTTAAAGGATGCTGTATTAAGTACACCACTGACTAAGGAGTGTTTGACTTAAGAGGAATAGACTTTGGGTCAGCATGTTCAGCATTTGATTCACCAAGCCTCAGTTTCCTTACATGTGGAATGGAGATAACATGTATGCTACTGTGTTGTTGTAAGGTTGTTATTGTCTCTTTAATTCCAGAGTTCAAAGGTCCACACAGTGCATGAGGAATAATAGAGAGTCCACCAAGACATTGGAGACCAAGCCTTTCCTTTCTTATCCCAGGACATTTAGTTTTCTAGGTCTTGTTCTGAAGTTATAGCATACGACATACATCATAATTACCATGCAATGGATTCATATGCTAATCAGGAATGCAGTTTTATAGCAGCACAAAGGGTCTGAGTTTTCTTGGCCTTTGATTCTGTAGACCATTGTTGGGTATGTGTCAACCTTCATGAGCTTAATATAACATTTCAGAAAAGCCTTATAAAATCTGCTTTCCTTTGACCAAAATCTTGTTTAGGCAGGAATGGGTTTCTGACAGGTCAGATAAGTTTCTAGGGTACTTTTTCCCTTTATCATCACCATTCCCTAGGGTCAGTCTGGCTGTTCCATTAAGTAGTGAACACATTGACTGGCTACCCAGGATTCATTTTCTCTTCCTCCTTCCTAAGTGAGCCCTCATTTTCTTTAGAAACACACCCATCTTCCACACAGCCCTCTTAAGAGAATCAGGGGAAGCAGTTTCCAACTCCAGAGCTGAATCTTGACTGGCCTGAAGCCTTGACTCAAAGCAGCCTTGATAATCTCATTCTAGTTGCTAATGATTAGTTCAGAAACCCAGTATTAAGCCAATCAGCAAGCACATGGTGCTTGACTGGCCTGAAGCCTTGACTCAAAGCAGCCTTGATAATCTCATTCTAGTTGCTAATGACTAGTTAAGAAACCCAGTATTAAGCCAATCAGCAAGCACATGGTGTTACTATGGTCCGATGGTGGCCACATGACCTAACATTGGGAAGAAATTAAACTCTTAGGGAAGAAATTTTATTTCATGGGTAGGGGAGGGGCTTTTTTCTCTCTCTTGTTGGATGTACTAAGGAAGCGTTGTCTGCTGCCAGCAGCAATATTGGCTACCATTAGAGAAGTCATCCTAAGGAGAATGCATGCACACAGAAAAGGGTAGAGCCAAGACAACAGTGGAGAAAGTGAAACATTGATGGTTACCTTGAAAACATTGATTTCTCACTCTACTTCCAGACTCCCAAATAAGGAGATTAAAAGTTGCTTATTGTTTTAAACCGGTTTATTTTAGGATTCTGTTACTGACTGCCCAAACTCATACTCAATGAAATTGTTCACTTTAAATATTATGGATTGGATATATGGTCTCCTGATACTGCAAACTGGTGGATGAATGTTCTTTTATCTGATGATGGCTTAGTTTTATTACAAAGAACAAGGAGTGTGTTTAAACAACTGATCCCTTAACTGTAATAAAAGAAAGATTCTATATTGTTTTTATGTAATAGAATAAGAAGAAATTAGCAAGTGGTGCTTCACAGCCTTCCTCATGTCTTTTGCCTGCTTTTACTTTCCATCTATTTTGCTGCTCCTCCCTTGACCCCTCCATCCTCTAATCCATCTGGAAGAACAGGTAGGAAACAGTGCTGAGGCAGAGTCTCAACAGTAAAGGCAGACTGCATGTTGCAATGAAATGGGGAAGTGCAGAGCAAATGTCCCAGAGCAAGCTGTGCTGGGGACTGAGAAGAGTGGGGAAGAGGAGGCAGAGGGACCGGGGTAGTGGGTCTAAGCTGATGTGGATGAAAGAGTGCCCCTGGGAAGAAAGCGAAAGAATCCTAGGAGTATTAGAGTGTCCAAGAGTACAAGTGGACCAGAGATGCTAATAGGACTCTAAATTTGGGGGCTTCCCAATTTTTACAAATTATAAAATGTTTCAAAAGTATAGTGAAAATAGAGAATGCTTTAAGAAATGCTGGCATTTTGCTATATTTGATTCAATTTTAACAGAAAATATATTTTTAAAGTCCCTTTTGAACAGCATTCCTAATTTATCTCTTCAAATCCTAGAGGCAAAATCTATTCTTAAGTCCGTGTGTATCCTTTCCATTCATAGTTTTATAATTATAACATAAATGTGTGCATACAAATATACAGAACATTGTTCATGTGTTTTATATATTTACATAACTGTCATCCTTCTGCAACTATTTTATTCAACATTGTTTTTGAGATTTATATATGTTAGTTCATGTGGATCTAATTCATATATTTTAATTGCTGCATAATTTTTATGTCTTGATATCGTGTTCTCTTTCAATATTGACTCTCTTCTTTCATATGAATTTTAGAAATTAATTTTAAAAAATTTTTGATATTCATTTTTAAAAATTATTTTTTATTTATACAGATTTATGGGATACAGAGGAATTTTATTGCTTATCCATTTTCATAAAGAATCCTGCTTAGGAGTTTAGTTGGAATTGAATTGGATCTATCTATCTGTCTATGGAGAATAGGATACTGAGTTTTCACATCTGTTAGTCTTTAAATTTATTCAGGATTTTAATATCCTTTGATAGTGCTTTATAGTTTTATTAATGAAAGGTTTTACCCATTTTCTGTTAGATTTATTCCTAGATTCCTTATAACTTTTATTCATATTGTGAAAGAGATGTTTGTTTCTATTACATTTTTTCTAAATGGTTATCACAAATGTATAAGAACTCTGTTTATTTTCTTCTGTTGATCTTTTATCAGCTAATACTGGAGAACATTTATTTGTATATTCTGTTGAATTTCCAACATAGACAATCACAATATAGTTATAACTTTGTATTTTCCATTCTATTTTTATAGCTGTCCTTTATTATCATAGTGGTTAAGAGCACAGTCTTTGAAATTAGACTGCCAGGGCAAGCTTTATTAGATGTGTCACCTTGAGCTTTATACTTCAGAATTCTCAGTGTATAGGGCTGGCCCATGGCTCACTTGAGAGAGTGTGGTGCTGACAACACCAAGTCAAGGGTTGAGATCCCCTTACCAGTCATCTTTAAAAAAAAAAAAAAAGAAGAATTCTCAGTGTATAATGGGGATAATAAAAATCTCATTTACGTATTTTTGCAAAAATTAAATGAGTTATGTGTAAATCACTGGAAACATGCCTTCATATATAAAGAAACTTTCAATAAATAATGCTATTGTCATTACAATTTTTATTTTATTTTTATTATTGTTGTTATGGCTAAATCATATAGAGTAATGTATAAATAGAAGCTGTGATCACAGGTATCATATTTCCTTTTCTTTAAAAAAAATTCTGCTAAGCTAAAACCATTTTTTACCATGTGAGGTTGTCACATGTAGCTTATTTAAGTTTTGGATTAGATCTAAATTTTTTCTACCAAAAAA